CCTCAAATATTCATTCTGCCTCTCCTCATCTGACCACAGCATCTGACCTTCTCCATCCTTCAACCCTAATTAGCACACACACACACACACACACCCTAGTCCACACTGAGGCAGATGTCTTGGTAACAAGTGCAACACAGTGTCATTTGCAGGGTATCAGAGGCCTGTGGTGATGGACTGGAAACAGCCACAGACTCACTGTGGAAAATACCGACATAATCTGCCGCCCATTGTTGTCTATTGCTTCCCCCACCCAACACACACATATCCACACTCACACACGTGTTTTTTACTGTATCCGCTGGCCTAATATCGTAGCCTAATAATAGGTCTCATGTCTTGACAGCAGCTAAATCCGGCAGCGCTGTCTTATATTCCTGACACACTGTGAGATGGAGAGCTGCCCTCACGCCTAATATAACAGTTTTCCATGTATTTATAGGCCTGCAGGGAGTCAGAATAGCATCTGTGTGTACTGAAAATGAACCGAGCCGACTGGTTGGGAATATTTAGACCTTGTTCCACGGTTACTATTCATAGCATTCCATTACATCACAACAGAGCCATTCTGGGCAAACAACAGGTGCTCAGACTCATACTACAGGTGCAGGGCAGGGCAAGTGTGTAGCATTGTGACAGCAAGTCAAACATCTCTGCTGCTGCTGCTGCTGCTGCTGCTGCTGCTGGAAAAACTTGGATCATCTTTTTATTAAACTGCACATTGTCACCCAGGACAATCTACAATATATGCCCAGACTGTGCTGACTGATAATTCAACTATACAGGCAGCAATCTTTTACTGCTTGACTTCAGCTCTGTCATGATTGAGTTGGCCTTCCACTAACTTCTACAATGTTCTACAGTGCAATGTCTCATTCAGCTTTTCTTTAATCTGTATCTCTGAAAACACAGACATTTTTAGCTGCAGCTATTAGATCATTTAAACCTTTGTGATTTTAAATTAGATTTTTATATTGATTGTAATCTCTGCTGTGTTACAACGTTTGCAGCGTTGTCTCCTCTCTGTCCTGCTGATATAACAGACTCACCTCTTCAGTTGCAGGCTGTGTTCGGAGTTATTAGTGTTGTTGAAAATGTCAGTGGGATTATGAATGAGGTTTTCCCACTTCTGCAACAGAACCGAGAAGCTCTGTTGTGGATTAAATCTTCATCGTTCTGTGGATGATGTGCAGCTGTATGTCTACTGAACCCCCACCAAGAGATTACTTTGATTTGAGCTGGATTTTAATGTCTTAAACTTGGAAACAGCAGTGAGACAAAATAACCCCGACATCAGGGACCTTCAGATGCATCCCAGTGGAATTCTACAGTGGTGGAAGAGGTATTGAGCAGAAGTAGCAGTACCACACTTTAAAAACACTCCTACATACATTAATTTACTGAAGTAACAGTACAGTATTATCAGCACACCGTACTTTAATCAGAAGAAACTAAGAAAGAAGAGCTTATCAAATTAAAGGTCCATATAGTATAAAGGTAGATGTGCATGTGTAGTGTGATTATAGATCAGGTCTAGGTTCTATATTAATACTGTGAAAGTATCAAAGCCTCAGTCCACAGAGAAATGCACACAGCCTGTATTCAGAAACTGAGCCTTAAAACCAGCCGTCAGGACTTCTGGAACTTTGTGATGTCATTACAAAGCAGTCACTTGCAGGATTTGGTTTCTCTGAGTGTTTACCTGAAATCTGCTATATTTTTATTGGATCACTCAGAAAACAGTCAGCCAATCAAAGAGAGGCTCAGAGCCTCCTCTCTTCTGATTGGCTCACCGACCTGTTGTTACTAGAGCTCCAGAGAGAAGCCTGAGAGAGGAGATGTAAAACTACACTGAGATGGTTTTTGGTTCTTAAAACCACAAATATATCTTCTTATGGATCAACACTTCAAATAAAACACAGGAGGAGAGGAAAATATAGATCTTAATTCATTTAATTTTGTGTGCTTCATAGATCATCTCCTGGATGTCTCCTGGATGACACTGAAATAACAGCTGACAGCAGCAGAGAGAGGAAGAGCTTTAAAATTTTGACAGCAGTAAGATGATTGGCTCACAGAGACAGAATCTGATTGGTTGAACTGAAAGAGTGACAGCCCTCAGTCAGATGATGGAGTTGGAGAGGGAGAACGTAAATAAACAGAGAAGCATGAAGATAAAACTTCCTGAGCTTCATTCACAGTATCACAGCTGACAGGAAACTATGATTCTTTCACAGTGTTTAAAATGTGTGATTTGTTATATTGGGCCGTATGAATTATTCTGACCTTTACCTTTTAAAACCTTCAGTATGTAAACTGACATTATATGGAAATATGATGCAGGAGTGGAGTCTGTGTTTCATCCCTGTGGGGTGTTTTATACGAAATGCATTTTAAATGTTTGATAGTCAAGGAGGCACATGATGAATTCTGCTGAGAATTAATGTGAAACTATTTGTTTACAGTGAAATGAAGTTTGGATTTATCAGTTATTGTAGAGATGACTTCCTGTCTATGAGCTTCCTAACAGCAGCTCCATCTGTTCCCTCGTGTCACCACACAAATACATAAAAAGGTCCAGACATTATTTCTCATTAAGTCAACAAGCATTTATTTTTAATACAAAAACATACACAACAATCCAGTGTTTTCACTGAACAGTTTCATCACAACTAAACTTTTATTCACTCACTTTAAAATAATTTCAAACAGAAACAAACCAACTTCATGACATCTATCACAACCTTGATGTGATTTAATACTAGCTTCATGTAAGTGAACACTCAGTATGCTACTTTCTACTGCAGCTGATCAGAGAGAGAGGGCCTCGCCTGTTGTGATTAGATGTAACACGCCCACCACTCGGGTTTGGTGTTCATCCAGTTTCTTTTAACACTTGTTCCTCATTCACCTTTGATCATCAGGTCTGTCTAAGCTCATGATGCAGGATGCTCATGCAGGCAACAGAAACATTGCTTCAGCTGTTCGTTAGGGTGACTTTAAGATGTCGCCCACACAGTAACATAATACTCTTCTGAGCTCAGTGATCTCTGTTACTACACTATTGTTTGGTTTTTTTTTCTCAGTTTTGCTCATAGTTGTCAGTGTTTCATTCTCCAGACAGAAAAACAACCATATACACTCTGAGTGCAGCCAATGCCGTTGTCTAGTTAGAAACAGGTGTTCACTAGGTGTTTTCTCGAAGGACGTCACATTTCCTGCTGTCATTTTCATCTCCGTTTGGCTTTAGCTCATTTTGTACGGTGGCCCTGAGAGCTCAACGCGCTGCAACTTCAGAAAACACATACAAATAGACAAAAGACAAACAAATTCAGAAAACATCTTCATCAACTTGAGAGCACATTTGTTGCAAATGCTCACAACACAACCAAATACACAAACGCACTGCAAATAGCACAAACAACAAAGGAAGTGTTTCCAGGGGACACTAAAAAGTGATGAACCCGGAACACACTTTGTGACGTTGGAAATTAAAACACTGAACAAGTGTGCATGGATCTAATACATGTATTAGAATACAGCCATGTTAGTGCGTCCAACCGGGTTCATCAGTTTATAGTGTCCCATGGAAACACTTCTGTTGTGATGTGAGTATTTGCAGCTCATGTGTCGTCAAACAGATGAGGATGTTTTCTGAAGTTGTTTGTGTTTTGTTTGTTTACATGTGTCTTAGGTTGCAGTGTGTTGCGCTCTCAGGGACACCGTACATTTGACTGCTCACCTTACAAGATTTATAACTGTGTTATGACACAGTAGTGGAGCTTGTGCAGTGTGCAAATACCCTGTGTATACCATAAGCTGCACAGTGCCTCATGTGCATCTTCACTAAGCTAGAGAGAGATACCACGAGGGGCTGTCTGAGCCAAGATTGTTGAGAGTGGGAACGACATGAAGCAAGTTGAAGAACGACATCTTGACACTGATCACCATCCTGTGTCACAGCAGTTACTGTGAGGTCTATGCTTAAAGCACGACACAGCCTGAGAACACATCATTGGTATGAATACTGTAGTGGTGACATCAACAATTGAAATCTGATACCTAGCTATAATCAAAACCTATAGTGGAGACGCAGGACCGTCAGTCCACCTCCAAACACTGAGCCTGTTTGATAAGCAGGGGGTCTCAGCTGAGGTCAGGAGCGTGGGATGAAGATCCCATCACAGCAGGGGGGCCACAAGACTCCCATTGTCCGCCCAACATTGTAAACACAAACACTTGGATCACAGGAAATTACAGATGTTAAAACAAAATTATGTTGAGTTCCTTCTGGAAAATAAAATCAAAGTATTATCACATTACATCTTTTTATACGACAGCCAGGCCTGGACGCGTTATGTTTTAGGGTTGTCCATCCGTCCGTCCGTCCAATTCCCGTGAACGCGATCTCTCAGTAACGCCTTGAGGGAATTTTTTTTTAAATTTGGTACAAACACTCACTTGGACTCAAGAATGAACTGATTAGATTTTGGTGGTCAAAGGTCAATGTCACAGTGACCTCACAAAACATTTTTTCGCCTTGTGAATGTGATATCTCAGAAACTCCTCAAGGGAATCCCTGAAAATTTGGCACAAATGCCCGATTGAACTGAATCAACTTTTGAAGGCAAAGGTCAAAGTTCAAGGTCACTGTGACCTCACAAACACGTTTTCAGCCTTCTGAATGTGGTATGTCAAGACCACGTTAGGGAATTTCTTCAGACATTCACTTGGACTCAAAGATGAACTGATTAGAATTTCATGGTCAAAGATCAAAGGTCAGGAAGGAGAGATTGTGACCATATTTCCTGCACCTTGGCGGAGGCATACAACCATGAGTAGGTAATTCTAGTTTTCTCCACTGCTCAAGTTTTTGTGATCCACAAAAATTATGCAAAGACTAGCAGGACCTTGGAGACCACTCCAAAGCCACTGTTGTTCAGCCAGCAGTGAGGTTATACAGAAAGTGTGTATTGGAGCAGGGCGGAGTTTACAGGCTGTCAGGACACAGGGCAGCCGGCCTCTTGGTGCTTGGCTAACAGCGAGATCCTGGAGAAGGTCTTGAAGCAGCTCGCACACTGGTACTTCTTCACCTCAGAGTGGGTTTGGAGGTGAGCTCGCAGGTTGGATCGGTCGGCAAAAGCTCGGCTGCAGTGGAGGCAGGAGAACGGTTTCTCTCCTACAGAAGGAACACAGACTCGATATCAGTCATAATAACAGCAGCTTGTATGTCTGTGTTTCTGTTCATTCAGCGAACTCTGGCCAATCACAACCACATTCCAAGCAGGGATGTCGTGATTTACCAGTATTACGATAACTGTGATATTTAAGAAATGAAATATTGATATTGTGCTAATATTACACATATGTTAGGCCTTGTGGATCTTTTGTTTATCAGTTCATCTGGTTGACTTTTCACTCTCCAGTAAGTGTAATTGGTCTTTTTGCACAGTCATGGTCACAGACTCTCTCCACCTCCCTACGCTCGTATTTGAGTCTCACTCATTTGCCCAAAAAGAGACAAAACACACAATAAACAAAGTTAAAGATGAATTTGACTGACAGCATTTGATCTAGTGTCTAATAGATGTCGCCCACACAGTAACATAATACTCTTCTGAGCTCAGTGATCTCTGTTACTACACTATTGTTTGGTTTTTTTTTCTCAGTTTTGCTCATAGTTGTCAGTGTTTCATTCTCCAGACAGAAAAACAACCATATACACTCTGAGTCTTTGTGTTTATATTGTGTTGTTTGTGTTTTTTTGCTATTGGTCAATTGTTGTCATTTTTTAATTTGCTTTATATATAAATTGGACTTGACTGTCTAATGAGCTGAAGAATCTTTAACAGTGTGAGTGTGTGTGTGTGTGTCACTGACCTGTGTGTGTGCGTATATGTCCCTGCAGTAGCCAGGGTCTGGAGAATGCCTTGCCACAGAGTTTACACACACAGGGCAGTGTGTGTGTCCTGATGTGCATCTTGAGTGCTCCCAGGCTGATGTACTCCTTCTCACAGTACTTACAGCTGAAGTACTTCTTACTGCTCCACTCACACTGGAGCTGCTTGTGTTTGGTCCGGCCTGAGAAGCTCAAGTACTCTTTATGACAGTCCAAACACTCAAAGCTCTCCTGGCTGCTGCCGCCCGGGAGGATGGCTGGAAAGAGGGCCAGGAGAGGGAGGGACTGAGGGTGGAGGCTTGGTCTCCTCCTGTGGTCTCCTGTGACACACTGGATCTCTAAGTTCACTTTGGTGCAGGACTCTTCTGGTTTATAGGCTTCTACCGGGCTTCCACTGTATGCCTCCGAAGAGGGGCCTGAAAAGGAGAGAGGGGAGGTGTCGGCAGAGGATGGAAGATGCAGTTGGGGTTCTCTGAGAGGAAGAGCACAGGAGGAGGAAGAGGAGGAGGAGGAGGAGGAGGAGGAAGAGGAGGAGAGAGACTGGGCTCTCTGCTGTAGCCGTGGGCTGGGGTCTTGATGATGAAGGTGAGGGGGGATGTCACTGTGCAGCAGAGAGTCTTCATGGGTGCTGGAGGGGACCTCTGTGAAACACACAAACACACACACACACACACACACACACACACACACACACACACGTTTAGACTTCTATCTTTGTGAGGACTCTCACTGACATAATGCATTCCCGACCCTCTACCATCACACTTCAGTGCCTAACCCTAAACCGTCTTAACAAACAGCCTTTTGAAGGTGTTTCACAAAGACAGAACCAAAATGTCTTCACTTCCGAAATTGTCCTCAGTTGTTGCGAACTTCAGTCAACAGTGCCAAAAGATGAGACACTGCTGGCACACGCAGGTCACACAGACTATCACAGATAAGGTGAATGACAGATGAAATTAAAATACTATGAAGAAAACTGTTACAGGGGTAGTTATGAAAAATCGCCTTAAGTGTCATATCAGTGAATCCAGTCATTGTGCAGTCACTAGTTCGAGACCAAAGGCGACAAGTGACTAATAAGTACTTCGCCAAAATCCCAAAAATGCGGAGATATCCTTTTTAAGTTCTTGCAAGAATCTGGAGCATATCTGGAGATTTTTTGATATGAAAATATATATGCCGTGATCGGAGCATGTCCAGTCGATCTAACTACACCCCCAGACTAACATCTACACTATTCTACATCTACATCTCCAGATTCTGGGGTATTTTGCTCTGTGAAATGTGACACAAAGCAACAAAATCAAAATATCTTGATGCATGAAAAAGAAGGTTTGCCTGTGGCATTCATTCAGTTCTCCCTTTCAATTTTGCAGATACATACAATGTTTGCTTTAACCTAGCAAGCATCCTCATTCCTCCTGTGGTGCTCGTACACAGTGGTTTTTATATATTATGGTTTTAAATCTATAGCTGAGGTTTCCTGTTAAGAGTTTTACAGGTGTCTAGGTTGGCATATGGTGAAAATGCTTTTTGGGCCATAGGGTATTTTAAGCTGCAATACCATGAGTGGCAACTGGGAAAAACTGGCTGCAGGGCTGATTTTAGCACATTTTAGCACTTTATAATCAATATTTAATTTCGATCACATGAATGATGTTCTATAAAGTGTGTGAACTATTTTCAGTCTCAACAAAATTTTTCTAGTTTTATTTTGGCCAGAAAGGTTACAAACATTTTCCCACGAAAAAATGAAAAGATTAAAGGAACGTCTATAAAAAAAAAAAAAATTGAGAATTTTGAGAAATATAATAAATAAATAAATAAATAAATAAATAAATAAATAAATAAATAAATAATATAAGTTTTTTACTGCTTTCCTGTCATGTTGTCCATCTCCTCAGATTTATCCTCTGACCTCTGTAATGGCCCCAACCCCCAGACTGTTGTTTTATGGCAGAGAATATAATTGCTGAAAGAACCTACATTGTGCATTTCACGATATTCATTTGTTGCCTTGCTTGTTCCACTGTTTTTGATACGTCTCCAATGTGCAGAATAATGTGCTGCTGGCTTTCATCACTGATGCCAGGAACAAACTTACACAGCACAGAGAAGAAACAACAGCTGTGTACATTCGTAACATAATCATGCTCTCTCACTGTCAGCTCTATACACAAGTCCCAATCTTAAGTGACAGCATCTGTATAAAATAATAATAAATAATTACAGTAAATATGAATTCAGCTTCACTCACTTTCACCTTAACCCTACATTAGATTTAATCAACCCGTCTCCCCTGTCATCTTCTTGCTATGAGTGATGGATCCCACATGAACACACTTTTCTGGACAAAGTTACACAGAAGAGATTTCTGTATTTGCTCATGTTGTCAGGCAACCGTCAGTCAGATCTGATCACACCGTACCCTCACAGTCCTGATGAAGCAGCTGAGTCCGTGTCTGTTAAACTCTGAGTAAATGTTAAGGGAGCTATTTGTAAGTTTTGCTGTCGCTACATATGCTAACGTTAGCATTAACAGCTGTTTACTTAGGCCTGCCAGTCTTCAGCCATCGTTGCGTTTACAAGAGGTTATTATACGTCCTCTGACCAGCAGTACTTCTTCAGAGCAGACTGGACCCTACAGTGACTCGTGGATCAGAAAGTGACAAGAGCATGCGGTAGAAGGAAAGAAGTGCTAGAAATGGCAGGAATGACGGGTGGAAGTTGGAGCGGTGTAAGTAAATAAGGCAAAATGCAGCTTGGAGGATGAAGATATCGTCGACGAGAGAGGACACTCAACTTCAGTAGTTTGGAGATATTTTGGCTATTTACAGTCCGACATAAAACAGAGCAATGTGCACTGCACACTGTGCCGGAGACACGTTCCATCAAAGACAGGCAACACCACAAACCTGTTTCATCATTTGACACAATATCACTCATTAGAACACACAGAAAGTAAGAAATTACAGGCCCAAACGAGTGTTAGTGGACCCTCAACGAGCACCAGGCCAGTACCCAGTGCAGATCTTCTTTGTCTATTTTTTTTTATTTTGCAGTCTGATCATGTTACATGTGTGCTGTATCACACTGCAGAACTTCATTTTCTATTCACTTTGTTGAGTAAAAAGGACTGAAAAGGATTTTAGTTTTAATCATGCATATTTTATCATATTTTGAATGTTTGTACCTCAGAGTTTTTAAATGTTCTGCTGTTTGGCAAGTGTTTGTCATGTTCTGACTAAACAGAACAGTTTGAAAACACAGTTGACTATCTGGTTTCTTCAGCTTTCACTCAGGAGCAAAAATCAGCTTTTAAACCTGAAAGAAATAACGATGTGGCATTTATCGTGATAAATATTGATATCGACTAATATGGAATTTTTTTTATCGTGATAACAGTTTTGGCCATATCACCCAGCCCTATTACAAAGTGACTGCATCATTAATAAGCTTCCTCAAAATACATTTTAATTATGACTAAATTATTTACCAAACAGGCATTTTTTTTCAAAATTATCTTCTGTTAATTACTTAATCACTTGCATGTGAAAGCACCAGTGGGGTGATAGGCGCAAACACACAACAGCAGCAGAGAAGCAAAGAGTGCAGCACTAACAAGAGTCATATCATATCACTCATATGCCAGAATGTGGTCTAACGTGAGACGGATCGATCCTGTTCCTGTCATTATCTATACTCAAAACAAGACCCAGTAGGTAATGTTGACTTTCAGGTATCAATCTGCCTGCTATCAAGTTATGGTTTCATTCCCATTCAATAAATCCAGAATTCAAAGAGTTTTCCCACACACACACACACACACACACACACACACACACACACACACACAGTTGAAGTCTGAACAGCTCACGTCAGTGTATAGTTTCCTTTAAACAGAAGATGATTTCAGTCTTATTTCCAGCTCTTTTTTCTTGGCCCCATTCTGATGGTAACGTAAGTACATCACCACGAGAGAGATCTACCATCACACTTCGTGCTACCCTAAACCGTGATAATACGCCTTTTGGTAGGGTCAACAGCAGAACCAAAATGTTTCACTTCCGAAATTGTCCTCAGTTTGTTGCGACTTCAGTCATATCTAGTGTCATAAAGAGAGACTACTGGCGGCAACACCGGTCACACAGACTATCACAGATAAGGTTGAATGACAGATGAAATTAAATACTATGAAGAAAAATGTTACAAGGGGCAGTATATGAAAAAATTCGCCTTAAGTGTCATACTCAGTGAATCCAGTCATTGTTGGCAGTTCACTAGTTCGAGAAAAAAGCGAGCAAGTGACTAATAAGTACTTCGCAAAAAGTCCAAAAAGTGCGGAGATATCGCTTTTCGAAGGATTGCTTGCAGAGGAATCTAGGAGCATATTTGGAGGATTATTTTGAATATAAAATATATATGCTCGTGATCGGACGCATGTCCAGTATGATCTAACTACGCCTCAGCTAGACTAACATATCTACTATCCTAATCTACATTTCAGATCTGGGGTAATTTTGCTCGTGTGAAATGTGAACAATGGAAAGCATGCGCAAAATCAAAATATTTCTCGTGGCATAAAGAAGAGGTTGCGCCTGTGGCATTTGCAATTAGTCCCCTTTCAATTTGCAGATTACATAAGGTTTTGGTCTTTAACCTGAGCAAGCGATCCTCATTCATCCTGTGGTTGCTCGTACGATCAGATGAGTTTTTTTTAATTATGTGGTTTTAGAACTATGAGCCTGAGATGTTCGTTGTTTAAGAGATGTTTCACAGGTTGTCCTAGGTTTGGCATATTTGGTGAAAAATGCTTTTTGGGGCCATAGGGTATTTTAAGCTGCAATACCATGAGTGGCAACTGGGAAAAACTGGCTGCAGGGCTGATTTTGCAGCATTTTATGATCATCTTATAATCAATATTTAATTTCGATCACATGAATGATGTTCTATAAAGTGTGTGACTATATTTTCAGTCTCAACAAAATTTTTCTAGTTTTATTTTGGCCAGAAAGGTTACAAACATTTTCCCACGAAAAAATGAAAAGATTAAAGGAACGTCTATAAAAAAAAAATTGAGAATTTTGAGATAATATAATAATAAATAAATAATAAATAATAATAATATAAATAAATAATATAAGTTTTTTACTGCTTTTGTCATGTTGTCCATCTCCTCAGATTTATCCTCTGACCTCTGTAATGGCCCAACCAGACTGTTGTTTTATGGCAGAGAATATAATGCTGAAGAACTTACATTGTGCATTTACGATATTCATTTTTGCCTTTGCTTGTTCCAGTTTTTGATACGTCTCCAATGTGCAGAATAATGTGCTGCTGGGCTTTCATCACTGATGCCAGGAACAAACTTACACAGCACAGAGAAGAACAACAGCTGTGTACATTCGTACATAATCATGCTCTCTACTGTCAGCTCTATACACAAGTCCAATCTTAAGTGACAGCATCTGTATAAAATAATAATAAATAATTACAGTAAATATGAATTCAGCTTCACTCACTTTCACCTTAACCCTACATTAGATTTAATCAACCCGTCTCCCCTGTCATTTCTTGCTATGAGTGATGGATCCCACATGAACACACTTTTCTGGACAAAGTTACACAGAAGAGATTTCTGTATTTGCTCATGTTGTCAGGCAACCGTCAGTCAGATCTGATCCACCTGTACCCTCAAGTCCTGATGAAGCAGCTGAGTCCGTGTCTGTTAAACTCTGAGTATAATGTTAAGGGAGCTATTTGTAAGTTTTGCTGTCGCTACATATGCTAACGTTAGCATTAACAGCTGTTTACTTAGGCTTCCAGTCTTCAGCATCGTTGCGTTTAACAGAGGTTATTATACCGTCTCTGACCAGCAGTACTTCTTCAGAGCAGACTGGACCCTACAGTGACTCGTGGATCAGAAAGTGACAAGAGCATGCGGTAGAAGGAAAGAAGTGCTAGAAATGGCAGGAATGACGGGTGGAAGTTGGAGCGGTGTAAGTAAGATAAGGCAAAATGCAGCTTGGAGGATGAGATTCGTCGACGAGAGAGGACACTCAACTTCAGTAGTTTGGAGATATTTTGGCTATTTACAGTCCGACATAAAACAAAGCAATGTGCACTGCAACACTGGCCCGGAGACACGTCCATCAAGACAGGCAACACCAACAAACCTGTTTCATCATTTGACACAATATCACTCATTAGAACACACAGAAAGTAAAGAAATTTACAGGCCAAACGAGTGTTAGTGGACCCTCAACGAGCACCAGGCCAGTACCCAGTGCAGATCTTCTTTTCTATTTTTTTTTATTTGCAGTCTGATCATGTTACATGTGTGCTTGTATCACACTGCAGAACTTTTTTCTATTCACTTTGTTGAGTAAAAAGGACTGAAAAGGGTTTTTAATTTTAATCATGCATATTTTATCATATTTTGAATGTTTGTACCTCAGAGTTTTTAAATGTTCTGCTGTTGGCAAGTGTTTGTCATGTTCTGACTAACAGAACAGTTTGAAAACACGTTGACTATCTTGGTTTCCTTCAGCTTTCACTCAGGAGCAAAAATCAGCTTTTAAACCTGAAAGAAAATACGATGTGGCATTTATCGTGATAAATAATTGATATCGACTAATATGGAATTTTTTTTATCGTGATAACAGTTTTGGCCATATCACCAGCCCTATTACAAAGTGACTGCATCATTAATAAGCTTCCTCAAAATACATTTAATTATGACTAAATTATTTACCAAACAGGCATTTTTTTTCAAAATTATCTTCTGTTAATTACTTAATCACTTGCATGTGAAAGCACCAGTGGGGTGATGGCGCAAACACACAACAGCAGCAGAGAAGCAAAGAGTGCAGCACTAACAAGAGTCATATATTATCACTCATATGCCAGAATGTGGTCTAACGTGAGACCGGATCGATCCTGTTCCTGTTCATTTTATCTATACTCAAAACAAGACCCAGTAGGTAATGTTGACTTTCAGGTACAATCTGCCTGCTATCAAGTTATGGTTTCATTCCCATTCAATAAATCCAGATTCAAAGAGTTTCCCACACACACACACACACACACACACACACACACACACACACACACAGTTGAGTCTGAACAGCTCACGTCAGTGTATAGTTTCCTTTAAACAGGAAGATGATTCAGTCTTATTTTCCAGCTCTTTTTTCTTGGCCCCATTCTGATGGTAACGTAAGTAATCAATACAGTGGATGGGGGGGGGCATGGGGGGG